TGCTGAGGCTAAAGCCAAGGCGGAAGCCGCAAAGGCATCTGCACCGAGTGACCCGTTCCTCGCTGCGACTTCGTCCACAGGAGGTTCCCTTCCTTCTTCAAGCTCTAAAAAGCTACGAATTCCATCTCAACTTTGTTCTACAAAGGAGGTAAAGCAAAAGAACAATGCAACTGCTTTGGTCTACACCTCGGGACTTCAGGTCACTTCCGAACAGCAAAACAGCGAAGCTTCAGAGTCACTCTGCACTCCTACTCATCGCCGACACAGACTGCGATGGCAATGAGGTTTGCCCAGCAAGGTCCTGAACTGAGCCTTTCTGAGTCGCATGAGCGTAGGGTAGTTTTTCACTCGACAAGCACGTTTGGGACCTGTTAGCGCTTCTTTGACTGCAGGGGATGTAGAGCGCATCTGCGCCAGCTTTCAGTTAGAGCCGAGAGACGTTTGGTTAGTGGATTCTGAACACCTCAGCGGATTCAGAGTGGTCAACAAGCACGAGAGAGAGGTCACTCTGTACAACGCTTCAGGGGGAAAGATCCCGGTATCGAACGTCGTCGACTTAGAGGTCGTCTTCGGTGAGTGTAGCCTTCTTTTGACGGAGGTTCTCGTTGCGGGCCTGTAGCAATGAGGCAATGGAAGACGGATGCTACGATGAGAAGACAAGGGTCCCGACTGCCATCCTGGTTAAGGAATCGGCCGGACAAAGGCAAGGGCAAAAGCAAGAACAAGCAGAAGGATCAGCCCCGTGAACGTTCCCCGCTTCGACAGGCCAGACACCCGGAGCAGCCTTGGGATAGGGAAGAGGAGAGAGCTTCGGAATCTCCGGTGGGTCCGGTACGCCTACGGGAGAATGAAGAGCAAGAGGCAAGCCAGCCTCGTACAGTCACGCTGGCGGAAGGGCCAGGTGCCCACAATATGGCTCGCAGGAAGCTGAGGGAAAGGAGAAAAAGGAAGCCAGGGGGCAAGACAAGCCTGTGCACCTTTTGGTGCATAAACTGCAGAACCAGCAAAGGCCAAGGACAGCGCTCCATTGGCTTGGGGAGGTCCAATTGGTCCGCAACCCAACGACAGGGCAAAGCTTACAGCCTAGGGTGCTTCCCTTTATAGGTGCGGGGCGCACTCGACGAGGATATGCTCTGGATCGGCTATGGGTCATGAAACTAGCGATGGAACCCCAGAGCTTTGGCAACGAAGCAGGGTATGGGGAACAATTCCCCACCCTGGTCACCAGGACCCTGTGGGCAGGATGGATTGGAGTCCTTTTCGACGAAGCGGTGGAGGGTTACTGCCACCACTACTTCTATGGAAGTATCATCCGCAGGGCAGAGCTGTTCAACACATGGTGGCAGGAACATCGCCATGAAGCCGGGGTCCTCAGACAGTCCCTGTTTTACCTGGTGGCTATAACGTCATGGCTGACCATGCAAGGAGTTGCTCTATCGGATATCACGGTGAGCAACGTTGGGCGCGACCCAATGTCAGGAACGCTACCACGGGCAGTGTTCTTTGACACGGCGGAGTGGACGACGCTGCAGGAGGAGAGATACAAGTTATCATGCGGCATCGTACGCCTCCTGGAGAAATATGATGAGGAGCTACTGGCAACCATACGTGGATTGGTCAGAACGTACGACGGCAAGGCCAGCGCGCTTTGGATGGCGTGCGTAGGCAATGTCGGGCCATTTGCCCAGCACCTGCTGGATGCCGGGATTGCAAAACGAGGATGGGATGGAACCCTACTTTCGGTTCCGGCAACAGAGATCCAGAAAATCACGTTGGGCATGCCGTATGACGAAGCTGATGAGTGAGCAGCGCAGACCAGACAAGAAACATGGATAGTGGTCAGAGAGGCACCAAAAAAAACCGAATCAAAATACCGCCTCGGCGTGCTGCCTGAGGAGTTTCGGCCTCGACTTCGGTCTGAGGGGTGCAAGAGAGGGAAGTTCGGCCTCGGCATGACCTGAGGGAAT